CCCTCCCTGCCCCCTCTCCGTGGGTCCGCCTATGTCTCGAATATGAATCTATGTAAAACTAACAATTGTTCAAATCTCAAATAGTAAGTATGAGTAATAAATGACTGAACTCACACTACACATATTTTACACGCGAAAAAAACAAAATCATTTATTTTTGATACGACTGATGATAAACAGAGAGGATCTTACCACACCGTTACTTCTTTTCAGCACATAAACTTTTTCATATTTCGGCAACGGGCTATCCAGACCCCAGTGATCGTCTGGTGGCAGTGGCGGATTGTACGATGTTTGCGCTGCTGCAAAACTTCATCATTGAGGCATGTTTTTTCAATGCTCAAAAAAAGGTTAAAAGTTGAAAGTATAAAAGTTATGCGTGCAAGCAAGAAGATAGCTGCTAGGAACACTCAAAGAGTTGTTAGTCGTGCAAACAAAGGCACCTGACCAGCGAGGCAATTCCCTCATCGATTTCCTTCAGTCACATGCAAAAATTAGTGCAGAAGGCTAAGCAGATTAGTATCTCATCAATATTTTCCGGGCTACTGACAAGAGAAAACTTTGATGTTGAAAAAATGCAGTTGTTTTAGCGGTGTAAAAGAAATTAGAAGGTATTTAAGCATCCGAACAGCCAAATTTGTTCTATGTTTGATTACTGCATAGGAGTTTAATGTGAGAAGTGTCACAATTCTAGATGGAAGTACAGAAAGGTTACATACAAGGCGCCGAAAACACTGATATCAGTACTGCGCCAGAACAATCCATAACGGGGATAGAAGAGAACGATCGTTTAGCAGTTATTAAAGTCCATTACACATTTGCAGTCAGCTTAATTTTTAACGAATATTGTAAATTTGATCAAAAATATGTATTTTCTTAGGCGGCAGGATATTTCACCGTGATCGAGGACTGATAAAGTTTGGGATGAGCGGTGATGCGCAACAAACATTAAAGATACCCAGAAATAGCAGAAGCCCTGGAAAGTCTTCCTGTCGAAAATACCGTTCCACAGGTAAATCTTTCAGGAGATGAAACGGACTTCAAAATCACCGGATTTTGGGCTAACGCTGACTACTAGTCAATGCAGCATTGGTCAAAGTGACTGGGAAACTCGCTAGTTATAAAAACGGATAACCAGACTATTTATTAGCAGCTAATCGAAGAGTTCCAAACACTGTAAAATTAAGGACAGCTCATAAATGCCTTTTTTCACATTCACTCCTCTCATACTCACTTTATCCACGCTGACTAATTCAGGATTTTCCAATTATTTACAAAATTACCAGTACGCAATATTTTTACTTTTTGACAAAAATTTCGAAATTATGGATTTTTATCTCAAAGGACCTATTATGATCACATTTTTTTTTCTAATCCATGTTATCTAACATACTGTACTCTAAGTATGTGCTTAACAGTGTAAGCAAATGTCGTTGCTGTGGAAAAGCACACTGCAAGAGGACATAAAATGGGTAACGAAACTGAAGCATCTGTGCCTATTATCAGTCACCCTTCTCACCAACACATCACAGTGAAGCAAGCTGAAAAACATAATGACAACCACAGGAAAGTTAATGCAATAAATGGAAGAGAACTCGATTTCGCATGAAAGCATTATTGCTTAAACTCAGTCTGAACTATATCTTTTCCGGTTGATGCAGGTTAACAGATAAGACGCTCAGATGATGGGCATAACGAGTACCATCCTTCAGCAGCTCTATCGGGAACGGCTGCCTTTGTCTGCAATCTGGCCGACGGCACATGTTGTACATTCAGGATGTAACTGGTACATAAGCGTTGGCAGCTTCTTCAGACGTACAGTTTTTCTACAGCTCCTTCTTTTTGTTCACCTCCGCATCTCCAAATCTCTTGTAACTCAATTTAAAGCTATTACAACTCACTCAAAATCACACTCGGGCAATTTAATCTCATGAAAATTTTCACTGAATCATCGGTTAGCTGAAAAACAACTCGTGCTGTTATTTGCCTATGCTATACTGATCAGCAGCTACACCTACATCACGTCGGTTACCTTTTGCAGCTGGCCTTCGGTCCAGCTTCATTGATGGCAAATCTTTGGTGACATCATAATAAGGCTCTTAAAACTTACAACATTTGGTGGAAAAACACATTGCTGAAAGAGAGAAAAAAAACATGCAACAATATATCCATTAGTGAGGCATGCGTTCCTGTCGTGAACGGAGCTCTTTTTTGAAAATTGTTCTGGG